TTGGGCGTCACACCCCCTCCGGTGTCACTGTTCCTGTCTGTCGTCGCTCCTTTTGACAGGGCAAGGACCTGTGGCTGCAGGGTATGATCACGCTCGAAACGCTCTACGTGGAGTACCGGGCGGACGTGCACGTGTTCGACCACCTTGTGCACGAGCGCTTCAGCTACCACGTGTGTGTGTGCAGTACTTTGATCATGTGGTATCATACAACATATGTTGTAGCTGACGCGAGAAACTACACCTCCTGGACTGCTTTGAATTGTGTGTGTGTTTTGAAACTGCTTCGACTGCGCCAACCGGTTGACCGATGAACGGGGGGCGCAGGAATGTGTGGTTACGTGTGTGTGAAAACGTTTGAGCCGCGGCTGCGGCGTGTGTGCCGTTGTGCTGAAAACTCTTCTTCGATGGCCACCTCCGGACGTGCTCGTGATGGAGGCTTGGTAGCCACGCAGCCTGAGCTGTAGCGTAGGTGGGTTGCCAAGGCTCAGGTGGGTGTTGTTTTCTCGTTGCGTGCCCCCCCCCCCCTTAGGATGTACTCGCGATCAAGACCTCGGGCAGGAGCAACATAACCTTCCAGCTGGTTCACCCCACGAAGAGGCATCTCGAGGACCTGGAGATGGAGTTCGACTTCTCTGACAAGGGAGTTAGGGACAAACTTTACAAGGTGGGACAGTAAGGATTAGGATGCAGAATACCGCCGACATTTTGATGTTTTTTTTTATTTCGTGTGTAGGAATGTGTACGCGGAGGAAGCCATGGACAAGCTTTACGAGGCGAGAAAAACGCAGCCGGCAGGCAGCAAGGATTAGGATACACCGCAGACATTTGACGAGGCGAGCAAAAGCAGACGGCAGCCAGGGCTAGGATACACCGCAGACATTTTGATGAGTTTTTTTTTGTGGTATACCCTCGCCTGGTGTATGATAGAGTATGGTTTTGCGTCTCCCCGCAGGCGTGTGCGGATAGAGAGAAAAACGCTCATTTGTTTTAATCCGAAAGAGATCAATTGCAGGTCGTTTTTTTTTGTGATGACGGCGGGTGGTTCCAATGCGGCATCGGTCTTCCTGATTAGTGGACGTAAAACAGAGAAAACATGTTATTTTTTGTGATGGTGGCGCGCATGGTGAGCGGCACGGTGATTATCTTCCCTCCATCATGAGCAGGGGGGGGAGGAACCCTACTGTGTGTAACGACGGATTGGAGCGTCTCCCCGGCCGAAGTGCTGTGAGCGCTGACTCAAAGCGACGAAACAAGAACAGAAAATGGCCATCTGGATGAAAGTAAAAGCACGGTCATGTGCGTTTTTTGTGCGTGCAGGTCGCAACCAAGCTGTGGAGACGGGTGGGGCGCAACTCGGACCTTCTAACGAGGGAGCGGGCGGCCAAGATCAAAAAGATGCGCAAGGCCGGACGGGCCGCGGACATCGACGACGAGAACCCGGACCTCGTGGAGGTGCGGAGGGAAACACGATGAAGGATGCCTCCGTGTGTTGTTGTTGCTGTTGACGTTGTCTGTTGCTGCTGCTGCTGCTGCTGCTGCTGCTGTTGGTGATCCATCACACTCTACTGCGGCAGTGTATTTGTGTAAAAAGGATGACACGCTCCCAGCCGTGCGTAGATATATATATATATAGTTTATTTTTTTTCACGAAGACCACAGATAATTCATCTCTTCCACAGATATAGAGGACTTTTTTTTTTTTGTCTTCACTTCAAATCATGCAGTAGATTATAGAAATGCATCCATTGTGTTATATGATGACCGGCCTGTGTTTCCATGCTTTTTTTTTTTTCTTCGCTGGTGGCGGGGTATCTGATCTGGTCGGGTACCCGGAGAGCAGGCGTTCAACAAAGCGAGGCGTATGGAGACCCGGGAGAGGCTGAACGACCACATGGTCACCTACAAGGATTGGCAGAGGATTCTGGAGACCGTCAAGGTGAGCGAGCCAGCGTCCCACAGCCCTGGTTGCCGTCTGCGTCTCCAAGCGACGGTAACATGTGGTCGCATTGTCACCTGTTGGGCCCCACATGCCCCTCGGATCCCCTTTTTTTTTTTTTCTTTCTCGGTGGCTTCTCCCGCCGTTCAAGACTCTCTCTTTGTTTTGCTACGTAAGTTGCTAGTTTGTTGCCAACGCATCGGGGTCGAAAGTCGCTCACAATCGGCTTGTTGAATGTAGGGCTGCAACAGTGTATGTGATTCATTCGCAGCTGCGATTGATGCTTTGTGTACTTGTCTCGTATTTACGTGGTTTGTTTTGAAACCGATGGGAAGTGTTGTGGCTTGGTTTTGACATTCTGCTGTGTGTTTTTTGTTTGTTGTTTTCCGTGGCTCTTTTTTCTGTGCGTGCCAGATTCACGTGCTTACGGCGGGACAAAACCTGGTCCAAACTGGCGACGACTTCACCCGCATCTACCACGTCGCCCAAGGAAAGATTGAGGTGTGCACACAGACAGGACGGAGGCTACACATGAGTTGTTTTCTCCGCTTTCCTTCTTTGGAACTATGCATGTAATACGCGTAAGCGTTTCACCTACTATGCAACTCATGCTGGAGTAGACGTTAACGTTTATCGCGATCCGTGGGTCAAGAGGAAGCTGTGGGAAGAGGAAAGAGGGATTCTACGTCACCCCCCTCCTTCCCCCCGGCTCCGACGCAGCGGCGGTTGGACAGAGAGTGCGAGACTAGGCACGCTTCTTACCAGCGAGTTTGTTTTTTCTTCGATTTTCGCGTGTTTTCTTTCGTTCTGCTCCAACGGGAGAGGCGACAGAGGTTTCTTTCCAGCGAGTTTTTTTTCGTGTGTCTCCGTGTCCATCCGGGGTTGACAGCACGAAAGACGATCGGTGGGACATCTCGATTTTCTTGTTTTTAGACGTTATTGATTTGTATACATGCTGATGTTTCTCTTGTGTCTAAAGATTGGCGTTGCTTTGCTTCACTTGGCCCGTGTTTTTCGTCTGGTAAACGCAACTAATATGCAAAAGGTGAACGAGATCTTGGAGATTGCCGGGGGAGCCAGCTTCGGGACGGGCTCGACGATGG